CAAAGAACTCCCAACCCTACAGCAAGAGCCGCTTCTCCTTTAAGGTATTGCATTAATTTATTTTTATTCCTTTAAAAAGAAAGGAAATCCAAATACCTGATGGCTACAGACAGGTCAGTGCCAGCAATGTTTGTACTGCAGAAGGGAAGCTCTGTCTTGGACAGCTTGCATAGATAGCAGCACTTCCTCCAGGGTGGTTGCACGTACTAAGGTGACTAATGATCCAGCCGATCTGTGCCCGTGAAGAATTCTGAAGTATTAGCAGTACTTAACATTTGACCAGTGCCATCCTGGTCCACGTAGTATGTTTAGCCTTAAGACAACACTACTTCAAAAAGAGCAAGTTATTCACAGTTCACAGAATTGGAAAAATAAAAGGAATGAACTGTAATCAGAGGTAATGGAACTGCCTTGCTGCTGCGGTTGCTCTGCATGCTCCCCTAGGACTCCCTTCACATCATCATCACTTTGGTGAAGCCTTACACAGTAAATGTGCTCAGACCTTTCTTTTCAACTCCAGTGTCCTGCTGCCAAAGGCAGGTCGTGTGTTATCACCCCTGGGGAGGGCAAGTGAGTTAAGGAAGGGATTGTTTCAAAGTCTCGACAGCCAAATAGATGCTGTGAGAGATTGATATTTACCCCCTTGGTAACAGAAGGCCTAGAGAATAATTATTGAAAGGCATTTTTTCTACACTGCAAACGTACAGGAATACATTCACACAGATCTTGCTGTAGAGGACCAGACAAGCCCAACACACAAGCACCATCCGTACACAAAACTGCCCAAGTCCCCTAACTGGTCCCTGTTACACATTTTACAGAATACTGTACACTTGGCTGCAGACAAGGAGAAAAAAAAAAACAAACCCCACGACATACATAAGCTGACCAAATCACACAGACACACAAAAACTGTCACCTTTCTGCAGGCTTTTCTTAGGTCCTTGGTCGTGCCCATTCCAGAAGCTGTGCTCCCTGTGTGGAGTCATCTCAAACCCAAGAGACTGCACCCGGCTGCTTCCAAACAGTAGAGTTAAAAATAAATCCATTACATCTGTTGGGATGGATGTCCTAAATAACTGACTCCGTTTTCTTCAGCAGAAGCACTTGAGCTACATGGATTAGCTCATGCAGATGAATCCAGGATGAGGTTTAAGACGTTCTTCACAAGCCACAGCGACTGCCAGAGGTGCTTAAGCAGACAGCTCCCTGCAGAGTTTGCTGTGGCCTGAAATCCTCTTTCCAGGCACCTCTAAGACAAGAGTTCTCAGCTCAGGAAACGCTACATATGCTGCTGGCTTTTTGGTCCTTCTGCTCCTGTCGTTTCTGAAGTTCCCTCGTGATCCGCCTCTTTATTCCCATTAAATAGAGCTCTCTGTCAAACTGCCCTGCAGCCAGTGGAATGCTGCAATGGGAACAAAAGCCATTACCTCAGGGCACAAACACATCCTTGTTTGCCCAACACTAACCAACCAGGGCCACAAAACTAATTTTCACTGTCTTAAGGCATTTCAGTGGGAGAACACAGGTAAAACAAAGTTGTTCTGCCACAGCAACAAGTCGAGGTTTCTCTCAATACATTTCAATGAGGAAAATCTTGGCTGTAAAAGGCAAATGTGCTCCCAATTTAAGCACAAACTTGGCTGCATTCCTGAAAGGGATGCATAGAGGACATTCCTTATGATGCTACACCAAAAAAACATTCATCTGAACAGCTAAACTGGCTGATGGGTAACTTGGTGTATTCACTGGGATGGGTCATGCACAGCAGCTCTCACCTTGGTCTGTGCTAGTGACCAGCAGGACACCCCAGCAGCCCAGCTCCACAGACTTGGCAATACTTCCATTTAATAGGTATTTAATACCCACAAACAAACAAACAAATCTCTATTCTAATTGCACTGCTGATCAAGTGCTTCAAGAAATCACCATTTTCTGGATACTTGGGTCTTGAAATCCCCGAGCATGCTACTCACAGAAAAGAGACTAAGTTCCAGTGACTTAACCCAATCTTCTAAGGAGTTCTACTAGCACAACAGCCCACAGGGAGACACTGAGACCCTGGAGGATCTCAGAACACTGCACTGACATACAGCTGGGGTGGGATAACAGCTAAAGAGGAACAGCAGAGGGAAGCTGTCCACACTGATGGGAAGAACAGATTGCTGCATCTCAGATAAAACACAGCTCTACAGTTAATTGCAATGGACTCTGTTTATCTCCCTCAGGAGGATTAAGGGACCTGGCACCAGGGATTTTGGATGTCAGTGTGAGGTTTAAGTGCTCTTACTGTTCTGAGCAGTGAGAGCATGTACTGAGTTTAAAACAAACAGGCTGCAGAGAGCTCCATGGGATAAACCATATCAGGGGCTCTCCTGAGAGGACAGGCTCCGAACAGGAGCACATCCTCAGGATCACTGGAGCCCTGTGCAATGAGACAGAGTGGCACAAGGAGGTACTAACTTGTCTCTGCCAGGCCTCACTCTCACACGAAACAAGGCAAACACAGGCCGATGGTCTGAGGTCCTGATCACGGGGCACGAGGAGTACTTGACAGCCTGGATGTCGTCCTTGTAGCGACTGCGGAACACCACTCGGTCCTGGGGGCAGAGAGAGGGACACCCACAGTAACTCCCACCCTGGAAAGAAGCACCAGCTCAAGAGAGACCAACCCCTTCATTCATCACACTCCACTCAGTGACACGAGGTGTCTGGGAGAGGGAAACACTCAGGAAGCCTGTGAGTCTGATCCCAGCCACGGCTCTGCGGCCAGCTGTGAGCACAGGGGAGAAGAGACTGAACAGGAGTGTAAGGCAGGGAAAATACCATCAGCAGCCTGTGCCAAGCTCTCCCTCTGCACACAGATTCAACCATCCTTTCTTCCAAACCAGTTCCACACACCCTGTTGCCCTGAAGCAACAAATCTCAGCGTGACTGTACCACATGCAGACCAACTGTGGCAAGGCAGCTCGTTCCTGCTGCTGACAATCTGCTTTTGGAGGCAGGCATGAGGCTGAGCAGCACTTCTGAGCACGCTGCTCTGAAGCCATCCCTTACCGTGTAGGAAGGAGTCCTCTGCTTGGAGGTGGTGTCATAGCTGTCCTTTCCTATGTCAAACTTGTAGGAGGGACGGAAATGAATGTCAGCCTCTTGGAATCCTTTGAAAATAGACCCTGGAAGGGAAGCAGAGAAGCTCAGGTCCTTCCCAAGAACCTGGCACACTTTCTGCACTTATTCAACAGTGCTTAACTAATGCTGGCTAGAAACAACAGCTGTGTACATACATGGCTAGAAAAAAAACACGCTTGGGATCCAGGAAGGGAGCTCAAGCTCCTACCTAGTGAGGATAAAAGAATAGCCAGTGGTTATTTAAACAAAGAACACTTGGTGCCTTTGCTTCCCCTTCCACTGAAAGCTCCTGATGCAAATTCTAGTTAGTCCTTTCTAGCAAATTAACTAGCAAATTCTAGTTAGTCAAATCCAAATGTCCCAGACACTGTGACAGAATGATGTCCAGTTTAGAAAGGAGTCAGAGGAAACAGAGCAGTAACTGGCTTGGGAGATCACACTGCCTATAGCAAAATGCTGCAGAGAAACATCCCTTGTACAGACTGCCAGTGGATCTGACAACTGCCACCTTCCTTTTTTAGGGAATTTAAGAAGAGAAAGCAGGAAAGGTCTCTAGGAAACAGGGATCTGGCTGTAATTATTTCTGGGCGGAGGTATCTCCAGCAGTCTCTCACCCCTGCTCATCTCACTGGTGAGCTGGTCGTATGCCAGCAGCTTGGACATGTCTGTCTCTGGGTTCTGGTTCAAGATGGAATCCACAGTCTCACGATCCTTATTGAGCCTGAAGTTGAAGTCACCAAACCAGAACACTTCATCAAACCGTGTGGTGACATCACCTGCAAGTGGAAGCCAGAAGTCTCAGTTTAAGGGTAAACATCCTAAAAAGTTCCACAAGCAAACAAAAAAAAAACCCCAACAAAGCACAACTGTTCTTCCCTGAATATCCTTTTGAGGAAAATTAAAGTATATGATGTAGCTACACGCTCATTAAAGTGAAAGTCACTCAGTTCTTTCAAAGTGAGAGCTGTGTGATGCACAGCTCACCAGGAGTGCTGCCAGGTATGTGCAAGGAACAGGCATAAATTCTTTCCTTTTACTACCAAGAGACAGAATACTTGATCATGTTTTCTGCCTGTGACCATCACTGAATGTGGCAATAAAAAGCCAGTAGAAAACAGAACAGAAATCTTTAAAAACAATCACAGAAAACGCTGAAAAGAGACCAAACTATAGGACCTAAAAATTAACACAAAAAACTAATGCAACACTGCAGATAAAGAGGAAACTCATCTTTCTAGAAAAAGAGCTCTTATGTACCTAGACATCATGTTAACAGCACAGCATTAAGAAAGAATAATGGAATTTGGCAGAGAATGCCCAAACCTGTCTATATGCAAACTGAAATAATGTTCCTTTCGCTTTAAGTTTTACAATAATTTCTACTTGTTCTAGAAAACACTTAAAAAGTGAAACGTGTCCATAATATCAATAAAAAAATCATCATGTGAATAATAACCATCCTCAGACAAAAGGCCTGTGGCCTCTTTTTATCCTGACCCAGCAGAGCACAGCCTCACTCACTGGAGCTGGAGCGATAGGGGTTTGTGTCCGGAACGTTCTTGGGAAGTGTCAGGGCTTGGATGGTTTTGTTGTAGTCCAGCTTCCTCTCATTCACCTTGCTGTCCCCAGCTGAAAGACAGAGATCCTGTTACTGCCAACGATGCATCACTCTCATTCAATTACCATTTTTGGTGTGATGGGAGAGTCCAAAGGACATCGGACATTTTCCACTAGGGAAATGTAACACTCTGACCCAGGGAGCACACACACACTGAAAAATAATGACAGAAAATGTGGAAAAAGGGATACAATTTTATACACTTCATTTCTCTTTTTCTAAATGCTGTTCTTTTATAACTTTGCAACCAAAAAAATCTCCTCCTTTATTTTTCTCAGCTCAGCAGCTCTGAGCTTTGAGTTGTCTGTCCTGCTCCTCTATCCCCCTGCTGCTTTTTGCCAAGCACCCCCCTCAATTACAACACTCCTTACACAACTGTAAATGCCTCACATGTAAAGTGGGAGGTGATGAAGAGAAAGGAGGTCCCAAAAAACGTGAAGCAGATCCCCAGAGCTCCCTTGGTTTTGATCTGAGATACGATCCGAGTCGTCACCGTGGCATACTCCACTTCTGGAAGGAGAAAAAGAGGCTGATTCTACCAAACAGCCTCCAGAAACAGTGAGCAGGAAAGTGAGGTGAGGGCCAGCCCTGGAGAAAAGGACATGAGCACACACCTGAGCAGAACCAGATGAGGTCCCTCCTAATGAAGACTGACATGTAGAGCACCCCATGGGCAGCAGAGTAGAGCATGACATAGTGGGGCCCAAGTGTCTCCTGCAGGCGGATCTCCCACTCCCTCCTGCAGGAGAGAACAGCAGCTGGATCATGGGGACAGCACCAGCCAGGAAAGGAAATCAGTGTTGTGAAAATGGAGCAATATTCCTGACAAAGCACATCCAGCCAGTGGAAGCACAACCTCTGCTGCATTGCTGTGGTGAGGGCTGGGCAGTCTGAGCTGCAGCTCCACAGGTGCCATGCAGCGGGCTCTGCGTGGTGGCATCACCACTGCCCTGAGCAGCTCACACACTGGGGAAAAGGATCCCACTGGGAAGATGCCCTAAAAAAGCAAAGCCTGACATGTCCAGAGAGGGGTCACAGCACTGACCTGAGGAACCCCTCTGCTGGGAGGCTGGGCTGGGAGAGTTGGGCTTGGGCAGCCTGGAGAGGAGAAGGTTCCAAGGAGACCTTCTGGTGGCCTTTCAGTGCTTAAAGGGGCCTGTCAGAAAGCTGGGGACAGACTGTTCAGCGGCCTGCTGGGACAGGACAAGGGGTGGAGGTTTTAAACCAGAAGAGGGGAGAGTTAGACTAGAAAGAAGGAAGAAATGTATGACACTGAGGGTGGTGAGCCCCTGTCCCAGGTTGCCAGAGAGGTGGTCACTGCCCCATCCCTGGAACCATCCCAGGTGAGGTTGGGGCTCTGAGCACCCTGCTCTAGCTGCAGGTGTCCCTATCCCTGCAGGGGGTTGGACTAGATAACTTTTGAAGGTCCTGTCTAACCCAAACCATTCTGTGGTTCTGTGAGGCTTCAACCTGCTCTTCTGGGGTTAGTCCATCTCAGACAGACCAAAAATTTGCAGTGAGTTACTCATGATGAGTACGTGGCTGCCAATGCCAACAGCCAGCTCTGACCTAGGGCAAGAAGCCCACAGAAATCAGACAGGAGTTTTGATACTAGCTGCTCTGACAACACGACCAAATTCTGTATTTACAGGGTTTTGTGACATTTCCCTATAAAACTATTTTCCCCTGGTGCTCACGCAATACAATTCAGAGTCATGTTATATGGGTTGTTCACTGAAAATATTACAAATATGATGGAGACTATTTCCAGACTAACTAAACCCAAAGAAATTAACAATAAAAAGAGGATGGTTCATTACATTGTTTTTGCTACCTGTCTGGACAGCCTTCTTGAACCCCAATGACATACATGTCCTGGGCATAGTCAGGATCTGTTGGTAGTAAGAAGTCATCCAGATTCACTGGAAGTTCCTATTATTAAAAAAACAGAGATAAAATAACAATATTAGTTCTGCAAAGATGTACTAGACAAGCACAAGAAAAGCACAAGCTAAGCAACCACGTTCCATAGCACAAGAAAACAACTCAGGCTTCACAAAGAGGTTAAAATTCTCTTTCCCAAAGCCAGGCTTCAACTGCAGTCACTCCAGCAGCAGCCACGTAGGCCAGGCCTGGGATGGTTTTGATTTCCTCTGATTTTTACCAAGCTCAAGTGGTAGCTTTACCACTGCCAAAAGGCCTGTGGAGACTTCTGTGCACACACCTTCTGACCCTGCATGTTCCAGGTGGCCACAAAAATGCCAATATTCCGATCAGGGAAATATCTGCTAAGTTCTTCTGCTCCCAGTAAGGCACCACTGGCCATAAGGCTGCCTTCCAAATAGCTCCTGTGAACACAAGACACATAAAAGGGCATCTAAGGAAGTGACATGACAGTTGGGAGTAATCATTTGTGACACATGAATCTTGAATTAATTGAGAGTGTGTCTTTGCCTCAAGAAAATAGCATTTAATGTTTATTTATCATTCTGCTTGCCTGAAGCTGCTTATGAAGTTCCAGTCCTTACAGAGAGCTCGTGGATCATAGGCAAGAAAACAAAATTATTGTCATAATTCAGCCTTTTCAAAGCCAGGACACGAGTGTGATGGGGAGACTGATGCTGCACAGGTTCTGTGACCAGAAGACTGAAGCCATCCAAAGTCTTCAGTCCCTCTAGTACTTACCACAGGCACAAAATTAAGAGATTGGCTGGATATTTCAGCATTTTGAAGCAACTCAAGTTTAATTAAAACAAGAAAATAGCTCCACCATTCCCAGCATTGTGGTACCACGTTGCTCCTAAGTTGAATGAGGGATTTGAACTCGCATTCCTCCTTCAGTTAAGTTCATCAAATTAGTTTTCAAGTAAATGACTCATTGAGTCTGAGGTCTAAAAGAATATTGCATTCCAAGAGGCTGGGTCTGCCCCACACCACCTGCCTCTCCAAAGAAATGCTGCTTCCAAGAGCAGGGGGGACTGGCAAAAGGGTGCAAGTTGAATAAGCATTTTTAATCTTGCTTAAGCCCTGCAAAGAAGGAGGCCAGCATGATGTCAGCTGAGCAACTCACCATCCACCCAGCTGCCCACCAGACTCCAACAGCTCTGCAGAGGGAAAGGAAAGAAAATCCCTCCTGGCAGCCAGTAACAGTCTTCCTCTGGGGCTTTTTTACCTGCTAGGAACACTGGACTTTATCTCAGAGTTATTTTCCCCTGTACTGCTGTAGACTCCCACTCTTCAGCTCAATAATCAGATTTATCCCCCAAGGTCCTGCAGGCTTGCAACATACAACCTTAGCTGAGCTCCTGGTGTCCTTCAGCTTTTCATGTGCTCCTGGAGGGTCTGCAGCCCACACCCAAAGAGGATTAGACACACTGGTGAGCAGACTAATACATCCAGCCTGGGTTCCCTCCAGTCAGCAACCTAAACTGCACTCAGAATGAAGACAAATGAGCAACCAGAGCAAGAGGTCAGGGCCACAGTAGGTGAAAGTGCTGAGATCTGAGTGGAATCACACCTCCCCAGGAGGTTCCTGGCAAAGCTGGTGCAGAGCAGCTCTGGGGGGACACTGAAGCAGTTCATAGCCCATGGTTCAATCCTGCCAGAAGCCAAAAAACCTCAACATCTGCAGAGGACCCTCAGCACTTCACAGGATTGTGACAGGACTGCATGATAGTTTCAAGCTGAAGTGTGGGGTGTTTTTTCCTCTCTGCCATTTAACATTTTAGTTCAAGGCCAATGTACTTTTAAATTTAAAAAGCAAAAATGTTTTTTCCCAGCTGTAAGCATGCACAGCTAGCCTCTTAATTTTGAAACCACATTAAACATTACAAGCAAGCCAACAACACCAAATCAAACTCTCATTTGTGAACAGCAACACCCAGCTGAAAGGAGCAAATATAGAGTATTGGTACTCATCTCTCCACCTCTGAACTATTTCCAGCCTCCACAGAAGCTTAAAGAACCCAGAACAACGGCAGCGTTCTGCTGAGGGGTGGGCACCTCGCTGGCCCTGCCCAGCAGCTGGCTCCCCACACACCACCCCCAAACTCTGCCACGAGAATTCTGCCGGGCACCGTACCTGCTTCGGACATCCCTGGAGCGAATGGGGGTGAGCAGGCTGAACGTGGACTTCATGGAGTCTGGGGAGCACCCGTCACACACCATCCC